ATCGGTGGATAGGTCGACGTCGAGGTTATCGCTCGAATAGACGGAAGTCGAATAAAGAGAGGTTTTCGAAGGAGAGCGTTTTTTTTTGTAACAGTACAAAAATATATATAATATTAAATATAATATAAGAAATTATAAAATATAATTTATAAATATATATAAATCTAAAATTTATAAGAAAACAAACATTAATAAATATTAATAAATGGAATTAAAAGTACATTTATTTATAATAAATGATCATCTAAATTCTAAATGCTTTATATGAACATTTTCATTCATAGAATTGAGAGAACGCAAATAGAGAGCGGAACTAAGACAGAAGATCCGTGTACTGTGATTGGTTACCTACCAAATCCGCGCATGTGCAGTTCATTTTTGGCTACACAAATGGCCAGCCAGAGAGGCCAGACTTGTGCTTATATACTATCCGTGAGCTGTCAGTAGCTCTTGATACAGCGTGGATAGTTTATTTATTTATTTTTTTTTTTTATTTTTAGTTTTGTCCATACGCAAAAGTATCTTGTCGAGCTTCTTGGAATTCTTGTGTACCAATTCGCGTCCGCGACGCGATATGGCTACGATTGATTTTCAACATCTGTTATTGCTAATTACATTGTTCACTGCAGCATTAACCTCATCTGTCAATACGGGACCAGATGGCATATCCTCGGTATCGCCAATTCCTTCCGATTCTCCGCCCAAATCGTTGTCATCGACAGTCAAATACTCATCTGATGTAATCAGTGATAAGAAAGTATCGAAGGTGAATTAGCTTAGCATGTATTTTCCATTTGCATATGTGAAAGTCGCGTCCAATTTATATATATATTTTTTGTTTTATTATAGTTTTATTCACTATTTCGCATTTCTTCGTTCGCGTATCGTTTTATGATGTTTTATCCTTTTATACATTTTATAGTTTTTTGCATATTTTTAGCTATATGATTCACACTTCTCTTGATTTTGGCAACTTGTTCTAATTTTTTTTTTTCTTGTTTGATGTATTTTTTGTCTTACTTTGTTTTTGTTCTTTGTATTCTCTATTCTGTGAATTTTTTTTTTTTTTTTTTTTATATCTTTAATTTCTATTTGAAATATTTTTTACATTGCTTTACAATTCTTACTTTATTTGGAATTTATTTCATTGCTGTACATATTGAAACCATATCTTTTTTCCTTTTCGCACATTACAAAATTGTTATATCTATCTATATCACTTGTGTTTATTTTGTATGTTCATTATATCACTATCTAAAAACTACTGTCATTTGTCATCTTTATATTTCTACATTTGGGAATTTATGTGTTATTCAATATAATAATTCTATATATATATATATATATAGAAGAAATTCTATATGTATATA